ACTCTCTCGCACTCACACTCACTCACTCCCTCACTCACTCACTCACTCACTCACTCACTCACTCACTCACTCACTCACTCACGCTCAGTCTCACTTTCTGAGTCTTCTGGCATATGTGTCATTCGTCGTTCATCTTGCATGGATGGCTCTGCAGGTGTCCAATTGCTGTGTGCCTTCATCACACAAGCATATCAGTGGAATGCAGCCGATCTGGAAAGCTCACATCTTGGAAGGCCCTACAACTGGGCTCTTTTGGAGCCGGAACGACTGGAATTGAGCCTTGGCTGTACCGGAAACCCGTGGTTTGTGGCTTTGAAGCAAAACCTCGGGCTAGGGATTGTGGGGCCGCAGAAACGGAGCTGTGAGACGAAGATCGGGAGCATCTGAATGGAAACGAAAGCCAACCTTTGGCAGACGCAGCCTTGAAACAATGCTTTAAAGTTCCTCTGAACAGCTCGACTGCTTGCAGCCTTGCGCCCCAGAAAAAAAAGCGCGGGAACAGCCGAGGCACAATGCCGGCTATGGCGGCCTAGTCGAGCCGGGGTGCTCAGAAGGAGTCAGAAGAAGCTTTGAACGTTGAAGGGTTGGCCTTGCAGCCGAAGTGCATCATTTGGTCAAGCAAGGAGCGTCGACTCGCCTTTCTCAACGTCCTTAGCATTTAACACACATCGCAGGAACCGATGAATGCCTTGTCATCTCAATCAACCTCACAAAGACCTCTAGAGGAGCGCACTCAACTATGAAGCCACACTCAACTTTGAAGCCGCTACGCAGAAGTCCCTTGAAATGCAAACTGGCCGGCAGCAGCCAGGATGAAAGACTGGCTCGCCGAGGACTTGGTTCTGTTCGGCATGATCCGTGAGCCCAGCTTCTTGACCTTTCGACCTTCACGAGCTTTGAACTTAGAGAAGCAGTTGCCTCCATGCTTTGATGCAGCGTGCTCTACTGTCAGACTTCCACTGTTTCTGTGCTTACAGGAGAGAGGCTTGAGACGCTGGAAGTGTAAGACGTGGGAAGAGTCGGAACGCTGTGTTTTTGCTCTGAAGTTTTCTGTGAGCCAAGCCAACCAAGCACACTTTGCATACACTTTGCCACCACCCCGAAACTATTCTTGAGCTTTGGGCTTGCAGTGGCTTACAAGCCGCTATTGCCGCTATTTGGCTTGAAAGGTAACGAGGATGTAGACGACGACAGTTCAAGCCTTCAGAATTTCAAGCACCCTAAGATGCCGGTAACTTCTCGCATGAGCGTGAAAAGACCCAAGATCTACACCCTCCTAAGGCGACCGCAAGGTCTCAAAGTAATTTGGAAAAATTTCCCACAATTTGGTTGTGGGTTTAATTTGGCAGCGATGCTTANNAATCGGCCGCCGGGCAATCCTGAACCCTTCTGGGTGAAACCCTAAACCCTAAAGACCTAAAGGGTGTTATCGTTAATCGGCCAGCCGGCGCATTTAAATTTTAAACTTCCACCATTGCCAGGCTTCACATTCGGGCGTGACACCGTCGCGTCCACGATGGAGGCTCCTTGGCAAGGGTTTGTGTAGGAGTGTAGGGTTCGAGGTGACAGGGTTTGAGGTTTCGGGGCTCAGGACTCTGGACTGTGGCTCAGGACTGAGGGCGAGAGGATGTTCGGTTTCGAGTTTTCGGACCAAGTATTCTGTCGTTTTCCGATTAGGCGGGAGCGTGGATGAATATGTGGCACCCTCGGATGCATACAGCAGGCAGGATATGACACCACACATACAGTTCCGAAAGCACATGCTTTGTCGCCTCTGGCGCGCAGCATTCTGTGCTTGCCAAGGGCATGACGGCAACGCCGGCAGTTGTCAAGCGTCTGGACCAGCAATGTTTATACAAGGGCTCGGGATCGTGCCACGCCGCTAGCTTGAGTCTTGGATAAACGGACAAACAGGTTAGGACAAAGTAGTCTCGGAAAGCTGAGACTGAGATTTGGGGATTTTGATGCTGGACGACTTTCGGGCCGATTGACCGCTCAACTGGTACCACCGTCACAAAGCCACAACTATCATGAAGGCAATGAAGGGCTTCAGGCTTCAGGCTCTGGGAGCGACTACACTTCAAAGTCTCGGAGTAATGGATGGTAAGCTCTGGACTCTGGCGACAAGATATTCCTGTCGAGTACCTGTCTCAGACTTCAGCTCTTCGCGCATCCATTGAACCATCGCTCAAGGTATGTCTTCATCCACTGGGTACCGGGCTCAGTTTGTCGTCTGTGACCAGGCAGTCAAGTCACACCTCTGCAAAAATGCCTTCAGAACTTTTGCATTTGCTTCCCTGCCGGATACGACCACAGAGGTCGGCCCGAAGGTCTCGGCCGTGAGGCCTGCTGTATTTTCAGGGCATGCTGTCTGCACGGTTCCTGTGTGGGTCGAAGCTGGCACGGTATCGGGTATAGACAAACTGCCCGAGAGCCAAGACCCAAAATGTCACCAGCACGACAAACCTCACTGATGCGACTTTGCGGCGTGCCAGGCGGGGCAAGTGGAATGCTCAGCAGAAGAAGGCTGACGCACATGCCGGTGCCCCGGACAGTACACTTCTGCGATGCATGATGATGCCGACGAAGGGAGTTGCAGTACCGCCGCTTTTTAGGAATTGATGATGACCGTGGTTTATGCCACCTGCCTGCCCGAAATTTTGAGAAGCAAGCGGCTCATTCAACCGCACGAAGTTCGAGAGCAGGTGTGTCCTCCGCAGCACGTCAGGTTCGCAGCGTGTGCAGCATCACCTTTCGCCGCGAGGTGGGGTAGCCGTCCTTAGCATCTCTCGAGTGAGCCTACTGCCTACCTGGAGGCACACAGCCTGGAGGAACTGGAGCTCTCAGATCTCATCTCCGAGCTGCTGCGTGCCGAGCTCAACACAATGCACTGATGCCCATCATCACTAGGATTCGGAACGTTTTCGCTGCTTATCATGCTACAATCGCATCGCTGTGACACCAAAATAGTCCGCAATACAACTGCCCAAGCACATCCCGGGATGCCTCGTAGTTTCTTTGATGTCACTGAACGATGAGCTTCGGCACCTGATTCGCTTCAGAAGGATTGTCCTTCAGGCTAGGCGGGCCAGCCTTGGCTCAAAGCGTCAGTCGCAAAATAACACGGCCCACCTTGGAATCCTGCATGCTTTGTTTGCGTCTCGAGGTCTAGCCGTTGTCGACGGAGCCGTCTCGGATTCCGGCAAGAGTCAGATCTCGGTCGAGGATGCTCCCTCGCTGCCTTTCTTATTTTCCTCACTTCCTCACTTCCTCCCTCCCTTCCTCCCTTTCTTCCCTCTGCCCTCTGCGTGGTTGTGAAAGGAGTACATGGCCTCCCTTGCCCTGGAGCAGCAGAAGCAGATGGAAGCTGAGTTGGAGGAGTTACCCATGCGGCGCTTTTAGGTAGATGTGCGAGTTGGTAGGATTCGTTAGGTCATCGCTGTCAGCCGCATGTTGCTCATGTTTGAACAGGCACACCTGGAAAGCGTGTTACCCCTTCACAGGGGCAGCTGTGTGTGTACCACGCAAAACAAGTGAAACAGCAGGGGCCGGAGGAGAGGCCGGTAAGATGAGTGTGTGCGCTGGCCAACGAAGACCGCGCACTCATTTACTTGTCCTCTCGTGTAAACATGTCTGCGAAACGACGCAAAGATCAGAAAAAATGCTGAGTGCAAGCCGGACAAGATCGAAAAAACAAGTCGGATAAGATCAAAAAGATGAGATGGAAGAGATGAGAAGATGATTTTAGATGGCTAACCCAGGGATGATTCCGATCATACCGCATGGGTCAATCCAGGTTTGCGTTTTGTCGGGCAGAAGAAAACTACTTTGCGTTCAAGTCTTGCTGGCCACATCTTGCAAGGAGTTGGGGGATGTTGATGCCGAAACCGAACTTCCCCAGGCAAGTTGTTTTTCGTGCGAATTTGGGTGGTATCAAGGCCCGGATTGAAGCGTTGACTTAGGGTTTTCTTGTCGATCTCCAGGACTCCAGGACGGAATACCGACAGCAACCCTGCAGCATGCCCACACAATTGTCTAAACCTCGAGCCGACTGGCGTGCATGGTCGTTGGGTTGTCGGGCTGAACGGGCCATTCCGAAATTCAGAACCCTCATAGCATGTAAAACTGCAAACTACAGTAGCAAACCTCCGCATTTGTGTCCCTGCCAGCTTGACGTTGCGGTGGACTCTGTGCGAACGCGCCTGGGCTTTCGATACTTCTGACATCTGCCCTTGACACCTATACGCCGAGCTAGGTGGGGTTCACTTCAGAGCCGTTCCTTTGCAGTGGCTCATGTTGGTGTGTGCGCAACAACCGCCGTCACAGTCGAAGATTGTTTTCATTGTTCAGCCTTGCTCGCAAACCGTGACTTGTGAATGGTAAATTCCATGCCCTGACAGCCTTACTTCCTCAGAAGTGCCGCTGCATGTTTCTACTGGCACCCTTGCCTGAGGGCCGGAGGAGACTACAACTGGGTCCTCCTCGGTCGGGCTCTCAGACAAGCGTAGTTGAGGCATATAGCGTCAGGATGTGGCGACTTGGGTCTGAAATTGCTTTTGAGGTTTGACGCTGCATTTGCATAGATGGAATGTGGTAGTCATGGAGACGATGCTGTAACTATTGTCCGTCAAATGTGTATGATCTAGTCAGCATAAAGAGATTTATTTCGGCCTTGGTTTTGGATTTCTGTCCAGCACCCTGCACTTTTTCAACCCACCACACCGGTTATGTACATGAAAAGTCCAGTGAGGCCACTCTTTGCTCACATGGTGCAGTCGTGCTGCCTGCAGCAGCAGGGGTGGTTTCCTGCCTGGCCTGGAGTTCAGACACCTTCAACCCTGCTACACCAAGAATCTGACATGACATCTTCCAGAGTACTACATTCCGGAAGCTGACCTTTCCAGTGCCAGCGCACTCCGAACACGTGAACCCCAAATTCAGTTCATCAAGCCTGCGCACATCTTGGCAGTAAATCTTACAGCCGATATAGCAGCCAAGGAATGCAAAAGCCACCTGCACCGACAGATAAGGCGTTCAGCTGGGTTCCGGATTTGTGCGGCGGTGGTTCGGGGCCTTGGAGATACCTTGAATTCAACATGGACCGTCAACCCTTGGGAGTTCGCGTTTGTGGTTTGAAGATGCTCGTTGTTTATGGATTTGGCGGTCTAGGGTATTGCGACCTGACGGTCAGTTCCTCTGCTGCTTGGCACTCGAAGTTGCCAGTCGTGTCATTAAGGGACCTGGTCGACACGAAATAAGAGGGATGATGATGGCAGGAATTTGCTGCTTCTTGTTTGAACCACACAGGTTCTGCGCCCGCATGCTTCTTCCTGTTGAAGTTGTCTTTGTGACAGACGTTTTCTACTTGCTTTAACCACGTCAGAGGTTCAATCATGCACCTGGCGCAGGCAGCCGAGGGCAAGCCATCCAGTGAAACCAAGAAGACTGCGGATGCCGAAGCCAAAGACGCCGAGGAGTCTGCTGTCATGAAGGCCGAAAAGGCGGAAGAGGAGCGGCTGGCCAAGGAGATTGCTGCTTCCGAAGCCAAGAAGGCTGAGGAAGAGCGACTGGCAAAAGAGGCTGCTGCCGCAGCAGCATTGGCCAAGAAGGCGGAAGAGGAAGAGCAGCTGGCCAAGGAGATTGCTGCTTCCGAAGCCAAGAAGGCTGAGGAAGAGCGACTGGCAAAAGAGGCTGCTGCCGCAGCAGCATTGGCCAAGAAGGCGGAAGAGGAGAGGCTGGCCAAGGAGATTGCTGCTTCCGAAGCTAAGAAGGCTGAGGAAGAGCGACTAACAAAAGAAGCTGCTGCCGCAGCAGCATTGGCCAAGAAGGCGGAAGAGGAGGAGCAGCTGGCCAAGGAGATTGCTGCTTCCGAAGCCAAGAAGGCTGAGGAAGAGCGACTGGCAAAAGAGGCTGCTGCCGCAGCAGCATTGGCCAAGAAGGCGGAAGAGGAGAAGCAGCTGGCCAAGGAGATTGCTGCTTCCGAAGCCAAGAAGGCTGAGGAAGAGCGACTGGCAAAAGAAGCTGCTGCCGCAGCAGCATTGGCCAAGAAGGCGGAAGAGGAGGAGCAGCTGGCCAAGGAGATTGCTGCTTCCGAAGCCAAGAAGGCTGAGGAAGAGCGACTGGCAAAAGAGGCTATTGTCGCAGCAGCATTGGCCAAGAAGGCGGAAGAGGAGCGGAGGGCCAAGGAGATTGCTGCTTCCGAAGCCAAGATGGCTGAGGAAGAGCGACTAACAAAAGAAGCTGCTGCCGCTGCGGCCGAAGCCAAAAAGCTAGAGGAGGTGCGAATGGGGAAGGAAGTTGCCGCGGCAGAAGCCAACAAAGGATCTGCAGTTGCAGCGGCCGCTGTTGCCGTTGCTGACGCTAGTAAGAATGCAGAGGAGCAACTAGCTAAAGACACTGCTGCTGGTAAGGAGGGGCGGAGGGCCAAAGAAGTCGCCGCTACTGCTGAAGCTAAAGTGGCAATTGTGGATGGACAGCCGACCCAGGAGGCTTCCGTTAAGCTTGATCCGTTGAAAGTGTCAAGCACGACCCGGCCTCGTGTCTCGCAAGCCGACAAAGGATACCCGAGACGTGCATCACAGCCAGCATCAGCCATGAGCAAAGATGTCTCAGCGGTGGCAGTGAGCGCAAGCGTCAGACCCGAGGCACTCGAGGGTTTCGTGCAACGAAGTTACTTTCCTTCCTAATGAGTATGACAGAGGGTTTCGGCTATGAAAGGGCTGTGGAAATGGCTTTTCCGGGCTTCATGGCGCTTATTTCTGGACAGGTTGCATACAATGCAAATCTAGCAGTAGACGCATCTTCAACAGCTTCGCCATTCCCGAGATGCCGCAAAGGACATTTCGTCGCACTAGTTGACCCAAACCGTTTTTTTGCGCATGCATCTCCTGCGATGAAACCGTGCTCCCGAGATCCGTTTATGAAAATATTGAAGTCCGAAGTCATCAATGATAACTGCGCAAGCCTTGCAAGCATGAAGTGGCCGCTCTCCAAAGCCCAGCTCGACCACTACAGGCCTCTGCCATGCCTCCAAAGGATCGCAGGCCTCTGCAAAGCTCGGAGAGTTTCTCAGGGTTTTTCTCAGGGTTTCTCAGGATTTCTGGCTTCACATTGCTGTGCCCCTGAAGCTACAAGGCACACGTGATGAACTCTGTCACACAGAATCTCCTATCTCAGACCCTTGGCATGTGTCGAAAGACAGGTGCCGTTCACGCAACTGATAAAAACGTCATACCGTACCATTTGCAGGGATGTCTGACTGCTTCTTTCAGGTGCTTGCATGTCAGGGCAGTAGCAGATGCGAGTGCAGGTTGCTGTTTCTAAGCTGGCAGCAAGTTTGGAGCCAGGCCGGCGCTTGAAGAGGTCAGCTTCAGCAGCCCCAATCGTTGAACAGCTTTCGTTCCGGAAGCTCACAAACTGCACACGTTCTAGATTCTAGCCCTAGCTGCGATTTCAAGGGCCCTTCAGCCCTGGGTCTGCCCAAGCCTTACAACGGCAATCAGGCTGCAACAGTGACAAGCCGGCTCGTGCACAGGTTTGACCAGCCCAGCTCACCAGCACCAGGCATGGCACAATGCTTTGGCAAAGGGGGCTGCTTTAGATTGTGTTCTTTCGGAATCTTGGTTGTGATACTAAGCTACGTTTGAACTAGGTGCCTTGAAGCGTACTCCAATGCACGACCATCTCGGCCGTCAGCGCAGTTGCCGGGGTCGCGGCATGCAGTTTCGGGTGCAGAAATGGGGATTTCGCAGCACTGGCTGAAATTTGTAACATGAAGGCCAGTTGGGAACGCTTCTGTGTTTGCATAATCTTGGCCTTCCTTTTTGCCCCAAGTTGCCTCAAAGTTGCCTTGAACTCCTAGCCACTCGAAGCCATTCTGTCAGAGCAGAGCTTCGTGTAACTAGCATTGAGTTTCGGGTTCACAGGTTCAGGAGTCCGGGTGAGCTTCAGGCTCTTCTTGCTCTGGCAGGTTCCGTGAAACCATGCCGCCCAAAAGCCCTAGGACTTTCAGCTAACCCTCGCATCGAACGCCCTCACCTTCGAATCCAGATTTTTCACGAGCATAGGCCCGTTTCTTTGGGCCGATACTGGTAGTTGCGCAGAACACCGAGGTGCCCGAAGCTCAACACCTCAAAGCACGTTTAGGGCCTGGCAGTGCTTCGGCTTGTGTCTACCATGTAGCTTGCCGTCGCTTCCCGTCTTTATGTGCTTTCAGGAGGCCTCAGCCCTTGGACTCGAACCGGAAGTCCCAGCTGGGGCTTGGGGATTTGTTTGTTGCAGGACGCGCAGCCCCGAGACTGAGCCTAAGATGCAAAACAGAGGGACGCTGAGGGTCGGGCCTCCGGGGATTTGGGGACGGGTTGGTTTGTGGTGCGCATGTAATAGCGACGAGTGGTGTGCTTCTACCGTCCGAGGGCTGGAAAGATGAAGCTGAAGTCTGGATGGGGCTGGTGGTGGGCCGTGGGCCCCAGATGGCCTCACTGCCAATCGTTTTCCGCGCAATTCACATAACCTGGAGTTTCTCCATAGTCCATACCCATGGGGCTGCTTTCTTGTTGCTGTTGCGGTAAATGAGTGCCGCGTATCAGCGTTAAGCCTCAGGAATCCGCCTTGCCATGACAAACTTGTGAGTGCATCCGACTACCGGCGAACCCACTACGACCCCATCGTCCGTTCTCTGAAGCATCCATGCCCCATCCAAGTTAACGCCCGTTTTATATGTGTCCATTCAACCATGATGACGTGCATGCCTTTGAGATCAGACCATCCATGGCCGGACCATGATAACAGCCATGGTTGAGTCTGTTTTGAAGCCCAAGCATCCATGATTTAACCAGGACGTCGTCCCTGGTCTAGTCCGTTTGAGGTCGAGCACCCGTGACCCAACCAGACGTCCATGGTCTAGTCTGTCTTGAGGCCAGTTCACCCATGGCCTGACCGCGAGAACGTTTTTGGTCTAAGTTGTAGAAATCTTGCAACAACATTTCAGATTGTTGGGCATTTCGAGCTTTGTACAGTAGCTGCGCTGCTAAAGTCCTGCTCCTGCCAGCTAAATAGACCATGAGTCGAAGCTGCAGCTGTCTACACAAGAGAGCTCTGAACTGCGTCTGCCAGTAAGTTTACTGTTTTCGTCGGGCTCGGGGGCTTGGGCATATCTTAACGTGCGGTTTGAACGAGATAGAGTTCAGGGCGGCATTTGGGACCCAGTCTCGTGTTGTTCCTGGTTTCCACCATGCGCTCTCCGGAGGTGCTACTCAGAACAGAGCCCTCCATGTTATCTGTCTTCATAGATGTCAGATGTCGATGCAATATGCTTGATTGGACAGCAGTTCTCCAGGGCGCTGTGCAGGACAACCTTGATGGTCGAAGTCACCTGCCTGCCTGCCTGCCTGCCTGCCTACCTACCTACCTACCTACCTACCTTACCTACCTACCTACCCTCCCTACCTACCTACCTACCTACCTACCTACCGACCTACCTACCTACCACCTACCTACCTAGCTAGCCACTTACCTACCTGCCTGCCCACACCTACCTACCTACCCACTACCTGCTTTCTACTTGCCTCCCACCTAGCTGCCCACCTACCTACCTACCTACCTACCTACCTACCTACCTACCTACCTACCTACCTACCTACCTACCTACCTACCTACCTCTACCTACCTACCTACCTACCTACCCACCCACCCACCTACCTACCTACCTACCTACCTACCTACCTACCCACCGACCTACCTGCCTGCCTACCTACCTACCTGCCTACTTACCGCCCGACCTACCTACCTACCTACCTACCTACCTACCTACCTACCTACATGCCTACCGAACCCTTTTTCCGTCGAGTATCGGAGAAAAGGTGAGGTGTGCAGGTCCTGCCCAAGCTTCGATCCGTTGCGCTCGTGTTTGCTGAGATCCAACTATCTATCGATCTATCTATCTACCGATCTTTTTATCGGTCTATCAATCAATCAATCTATTTATCTATCGATCTATTTATCGATCGATCTATCAAGCAATCTATCTATCTATCTATCTATCTATGTATCTATCTATGTATCTATCTATCTCTCTCTCTCTATCTTTCGGTCTATCTTTCGGTCTATCTGTTTATGTGTCTATTTGTCTGTCTCTCTATCAATCAATCAATCAATCAATCAATGTATTTATTTATTTATCTATCTATGAAACCATCGATCTATCTGCCTATCGCTCGATCTATCTATCTATCTGTCTATTTGTCTATCTGTCTGTCTGTCTGTCTCTTTATCTATTAGTCTGTTTATCTTTTTTGTATCTATCTATCTATCTATCTATCTATCTATCTGTCTATCTATGTGTCAATCTATCTATCTATTTGGCTTTTTGTTGTCTCTTCCATCAACTTGTATATCCCGTCAGGAAAGTAAAGGGAAAGAGCAAAAGGTGCTAAAGAAGTAGAGGTTGAGACAGGTAGGCCGAAGTAGCGGGCTTTGGCGTGCAGCGCGTGATGAGCAAGATGGCCCGATGTGCCCCGACATGCTGGTATACATCCGCCCGTTCATATTGGAGCATTGGGACTTAAGACAAATATGTGTTTTCTGCCTGGCATCCTTCTGCACGGCCCTACATCCTGAGCGACCTCACCAGGCTCGACGCCATGTGGAGCTCAGGGCTGGGAAGCTCCAGTGGTGGAGAAAGGACGGAGATGGGGACTCGGCATGGGTCAACCCCAGAGTCAGAAGTACCTCTACATCTATGCCATGCGGCTTCAAGAAGCCGGTAACATTCGACCCGGAATCCCCCTCCCCCAACCACTGACTCGTCCGAAGCGCTCCTGAAGCTGTTTTTGCACGGAGGAGCCGCAAGGACCTCCGGATGTAGAGGTGCACACGGGTGGTCTCAGATGGATTTGTCATTCCTGTCAATCGAATATATCATGATGGTTTGGTATTCAAACACACGTACCAAAAGCAGGGGGATTTGGGTCACTCAGCTTGGTGCTGGCACGATAGCATATTTGGCTATGCTTCTCCTCGTTTGCAGATACTTCTGATAAGCTTGGCGAGGGATCAGGGGCAGTGGGACTGGCGGCCACCCGGCAGGGAGTATCGGTCTGTGAGCATGTGCGCGGTTGAAGGCAGGCACGAATCTCTAGTTGCATGCTGGCACAAGTTCAGCCTCACGCTCGATATTCCTGACTTGCTGTCCCGGCGAAGTTGCGGCTGAGCGACGGCATCACACGCTGGGTGTTGATGCGGCACGAGGCCGACCCGAACTCGAAGCATATACTCTTTCTTTCGATACAGGGAGTTAGCGCAACAGGGTCTTTTCCGGGTATACTGTTGAGGTGAAGCTTCGTCAGGAAGGGTTTCCTTCAGTCTGAGCCCGAGATCTTTTGCAACAAGTTTTTTGCTGCTGACGATAGTCGCGCGAACATGCTGCGGTATGTCTATAGTGAAGTACGGCAGCTCTGTCAGCAGCATCTCTGGTCGAAGACGCACCGTGTGGCAGGGTGCGATCCTGGAGCTTATCTGCGAGAGCCGCAGTGGCTCGTCATCCAAGGCATCGAAGATTGATCGAAGATCGAAGAGCTCAAGATGACTGAAACACTTCGGAAGATCGTAACTGAAGACCTTGATTGGAAGAGGGCACAGGAGTCCCAGCCAAGTAATACAACCGTTGAGCTCCAGCGAAAAGTCTAGC